GTGCTCTTCTTTGGCCTTCAAGGCCTCAATAGTAAAATTGGTCTGTCTCACCCGTTCATTCAGCAGCTGGGTCTGTGCCTTCTGAAGGATCTTGCTTGCCCGATGCCCGCTGACCGAAGATTTTAGTTCCAGGCTTTTGGGAATGATGCCACTTTGTCGACATCTGAGGTTGAATCGCAAATGGTTCCTGTAGTCTGCCCTCTTCCTTGCTATCCTGATGCATGCTCAATAATCCAGGTAGAAAAATCTAAAAAAGTTAAATCTGGTCCTCTGGACATTCAAAAAAAACAAAACAAAGCAAATCAACAAAAAATTGTAGAAACGTTTCGTCTCTCATCCGAGAGACTTCCTCAGTCTGAGGTGCTGTATTCAGCTCAGTCTCTTAAATAGCACCGTCTCAGGGTGGATCAACCAGTTTTGCTGCTGACAACCAAAACCAGCTGATCACATGCTCAAGAAGGACCATCAGCCTAACAATGGATCATTAGCACACTGATGGCTGTTTACTATTCACAGAGGGCTGAGTGATACTAGCAATCACAACATTGTAAGAGGGGGACAATTGAACACAACAGAGTAGTTCAAAACTCGAATAATTAGCTGAACCATGGAGCTGTCTGGAGTGCAAATGTTTCTTAAAAACAGCCAATAATCCTCCACCACGACCAGTTGTCCTTGGCGCATTGCAAAACGAACAATCCGGAGGTAGTAATTCCAGAAAAACACTGAACTCACCAGGGCAGATCTAAGTCTCAGTGATGAAAAGAAAGTCCAGTCGGTTGCAGCAGAAAAAGTCGTTCAAAATAAAAGTTTTATTAGCCAGAGATCTGGCATTTATCAGGGCCATCCTCGTAGAATCCACCACAGGAGGAGATGGTTGCAGTGACCTGTCCAGGGGCCTCAGATTTGCAGAGATAGATGCGCGCCTCCGGCAGGAAACCCAGCCGCGCACGGGCCCAGTGTGATGATGGGACCCTGACAGCGGGACCAGACAGCGCGCCACAGGATCTGTACAGCGCCAGGAGCAGAGGTGGAAACGCTCACCATCAGCTGGAGAGGATGTTTCAGAGGCAGCAAGTAGGGCTTTCAGTTTTACCAGCCGGCCAGCGCGTTTTCCACGGCGTCTGGAGCGACGTCTCCGGGGAGGCAGGTGCGCGCCTCGCTGCAGGTAAGCAGGCACGTCCGCCAGCAGCGGGAGGACAGGGGGGGGGGGGGGTCCAGAGTTACGCTTGTATTGATCAAAATAAGCGACATTGGTGCCACAAGGTCAAAGATCCAAAAGTTGTTTTCGTTCATACACCAGCAGAGTGTTGATGTCACAGATGAGAAATGAAAAAAAAAAAAAATAAAAATTTGAACACCATCAGCAGAGGTGGATTGTAAGCCATGTACACAGGCGCCATCTTACTGGAAGTGAGAGAGTGAGATGGTTAAAGGAGAAGGCAGAGAATCCTACATTTTTTTCTCTTTGGCTTTTAACTCAACTTAAAAACAGTAAAACCAACATTTCAAGCTATTTGTTTTATTGTTTTTACCATTTGCTGTTTTATGATTTGGTAGTTCATTACTTTTATAGTATCTGTTGAGTTTATAGTTTTTTTATGCTTGTATGTGTTAGTGTACAGCACTTGGGCCAAGTGTTTTAAAGTGCTTTATAAATAAAGTTGTATTTTATTGTGTTGTATCTGTTAAGTTCCTGGCAAAAACCAATGCAGACATGTTTGTTTTTAGTATTCTACACCACCTTACACTCAAGCTGTTTTTCTCTACTTTCCCTTTTAATTATTTTTTATTTACCATTTTCTTTTCTTTGTTAAAATTTGTATGCATCCTTTATGATTGTCTATTGTTGTTGCCGTTGTCCACCGTTATCACTGTTAAAAATCAGGTCTCTCTTGTAAATGAGTCCCTGAGGCTCAATGGGATTAACATGTATAAATAAAGGTTGAATGAATTTATATTTAAAAAAAAACTTTATTCAGTATACTTGTGAAAAGCTGAACATTCTAAAAAGAATTCTAAAAAGGTTAAGTCAGGTCCTCTGGATGGGTTAAAAAAAAGTTGTAGAAACGTTTCGTCTTTCATCTGAAAGACTTCTTCAGTCTGAGGAGCTGTATTCAGCTCAGTCTTATAAATAGCACCTTCTCATAGTGGATCAGCCTGTTTGTTGTTGACATTCAAAACTGTCTGTTCACATGATCAAGGAGGACCATCAGCCTAACAATGGATTGTTAGCACCCTGATGGCTGCTTGCTATTTACAGGGGCTGAGTGATACTAGCAATAACAGCATTGTAAGAGGGGGACTGTTGATCACTGAGGCCTCTTCCCATTTAATGACGGACTGTTTCTTTTTACAAAGATGGATTCCTAAAAATAATTAGTTTTGAAAATGCCTTTTGCCTTCTTTTGAAAATATGTTGGTTTAGCTGAAGTGGTTGACCACTACACAATAATAAAACATAACTGACATTCAAAATGTGCTGTACTTGGAAATTATAGTTTTGTTTATTTTTGTGGACAAATAAAAGCAGTCTTTCTCTGTTTTTTTTTTACAGCATTGCTGTATGCCACTATCTTCGGTAATGTCACCACCATCTTTCAGCAGATGTATGCCAACACCAATCATTATCATGAGATGCTCAACAGCGTGCGAGACTTTCTCAAACTCTACCAAGTCCCTAAAGGACTCCGTGAGCGAGTAATGGATTACATTGTATCCACTTGGTCCATGACCAGAGGCATCAACACTGACGAGGTAAAACATATTTCATTCCTCCTCTGATTTTTTTTTTTTTGATATTTTAAATCTTTACAACACAACATAACACAACTCAAACAACAACATAACATAACAACACAGACCCAATGTACCACATCAAACACAGGAGAATGAAGGGGAAGAAAAACAAAAAGACAAAGCAAAAATATATTACGCTAAACAAATCCTTGCAGCATAATAGCTGAGATTTCAGGTTCAACAAATCCAAACACGGCTCCCATACCTTGAGGAAAAAGTCTGTCCTATAGTGCAAAATGCATGTCAAATATTCTAATGACACTAAGGCTCTATTTATACGGACACGATGGGGGGAAATATAGTTTTTTTCATATGTTAATTAGAGGAAAAGATTTGCGTTGACACGGTCGGATTTTGGGTTTACATGCATCCGGAGGATTCCCCCCTGCCCTCCCGAATCTGCTGTAGTTACCATGCCAGGTCATTAGATGGCGCTGTGAATTTTGTACCTTCACCTAATGCGCATGCGTACTGCCTCGGCACGCTGTTTTCGTCTGGGCTAATCAGCTAACAACAACATAACAACAAGTTAAAGCTGGATTCTGGCTGGATTTTGCATACGAGTCGATAGATTTGACGCCAAGCGGGACCGCTTCGTCTAACAGCTCCACACCGGTCGCTGAGTGGACCAGAACCGAGTCGACGATGTCGGACTTTATTCCGTGATTATCAGTAGCTGATTTACTGCAGTTAAATCACATGTTCTTAATAATGTTTGCTTGTGTTTACCTTGGTTACAAAACAACCAAATGAGTTTTTATTTTTCTTGAAAGAAGAAGGAGCCGTCCTTCCACCAGGCGAACCAGTTCTGAACGAGGCTCGGCCCAGATGAACTGCAGGAAGACGTCGAAGACAGATGTTGGATGAACTATTTATTTAAAATTCCCCTCAGTTCTTTTATTCAATCCATTGAATATTTTAAGTTTCATTAATCAAAGGAGTGACAGCCTGAACGAGCCAGATGGACAACGTGGGACATCCAGGATGAAAACATAGGAAGAGTCCAGTTCATTAATACAGTTTACAGTTAACTTGTTTTTAATCGTGTGTTCAGTTTAATTATCAGTGTTTGTGTGACATACAGTTTGTGGTGTTGAATAAATAAATACAATAAAAATTAAACCTGAAGTCTTCATTTACAAATTTAATAACATGCAATATGTTTAGCATAATTTTAATCACATAATTTGAATTACATAATGTCCAGATAGCTTCATTATATATCTCAAACTTAAGATAAATACTGTTTATTATTATTAAACTTATTATTTAGCACATAGTATGTTCTAGTGCAGCGCGACATGTACGTGTGCCTTGATCAGATTGTCTCTTGCAACACAGACGTTGGTCACATCACCTGGAATCTGACGTAGATTAACTACGAGATTAAAAATATATTCCATCAGTCATAGTTCAGAAAGCAGTGTGTCCGCCGCCGTTGATAGAAATATAGCGTCGGTCCGCGCGTGCGTGTGTGCATGTGGTTTAACACAAAGCCTCAGCGGGAGATGTTTACATTATCAGCAGGCGGTCAACGAAAAACCTCCACTCTGGAAGGTGGATTCAGAAACCTCCGGATTCAAAGAGGGGGGCCACTGGTGTCGTGTAAATGATCAGCAGAACCGCAGAGAGAACGCTTCGGATGCACTCAAAATATGCACTGTGTAAATGGCCCCCAAGTCCTGTAGTATCCTTTTCCAGCCTTTAATAGTAGGTCCTCTTGCACTAGTCCATTGTAGCAGAATATTTTTCCTTGCCGCCAACGTAAGTATGCAATATAGTCTTTTTTTACCGTTCGAGATAACATTTTTATCCAGCAGCCCTAAAAGTAAAGACAGAGGATTCATTTGTACAGATATTCCTAATATTTTCTGTATCTCACAAATTATATCAGAGCAATATTTTTGCAACGGCAAACACTACCAAGAACAATGAGTCAAAGTCCCTATTTCTGACTTGACACAAGGGAGAGATCAGAACCAAAATAATGTCTGCGGTTTGGAGAAATATCCATCCTATGAAGAATTTTAAGTTGTATTGATTTCATTTTATTGCACACAGAGATGTAGCATATTTCCAAATCTTACTCCAATCTTCATCATTGATGGGCACTGACAATTCATGCTCCCAAGTGTCCCTCAATGTGTGTAAAGAGGCCATACAGGCAGAGGATAATACCTTGTATAACATGTTTATAGACATCATCGTATTTTACAGAAATAATGCTCTTTCAACTGATGAGACTACCAGATTTCCTGCCAAAATTGTATTATGCTGAATATAAAGGCTTAATTGCAAATAACGAAAAAGGTCTTGTCTGGGGAGATTATATTTCACCGATAATTGTGCAAATGACATCAGCATGTTATATAAAAAAAAAATCACCTTTCAACATGACAATACCTCTATCTCCCCAGACACTGAAATCCTTATCGGTCAGTCCAGGCTTAAAGTCAAGATTATTCACTATGGGGTGAAAAGTTTTGTGGTCTTAGATCTCCCTTCTAGACTACGTACCAAACGCCAACTGTATTTGGTATAATAGGATTACTAGTACTCCGCCTCACATCAATAATCTTGTTAAAAAAACAACAGAGATCTCAAATTATATAATGCAAGAGAAGTTTCAATATCCAACCAGAGTATGAATCATTTTTAATCCAATCATGGAAATATACAAGGTGACAAGATGGCTGATAGACTAATATTTTGCATATCCAGACCACCCACACAGCTTGTTAGCTGTAAAGTTGACATCTTAAGTTTGGGTCTGTGCTTACTCCATATTAAAGAGCTCAGCCAGCCCTCAATGAGTTTAATCACCTTATGTAAAAACACTATTGGGATCATCCTTATAGGGTATAATAGTTGAGGCAATATCTTCATCTTGATCAGCGATATACAACCAAGCCATGATAAGGGTAAGGAATTCCACCTATCCAAGTCATGTTTAATTTTATTAAATAGAGGACAAAAATTTGTTTTATACATCTCTTGAATCTCGGAGTAATGAAAATGCCCAAATATTCAAACCTGATAATGCCGCTGCCTTGTTCCAGAGAACCAATAAAATTGCAGCAGCTTCTCCTGGCGAGTGAAATCTGTGCCGTTTCCTCATCCACTTTAACTCGAAGAGTTGCCGGACACAGTAGAGAATAATCCACATTAATTTTTCTCAGTCAAACTTTCAAACCATCAAATGCTTTACGCCTCTGCACCACCTCAGCAGAGTAGTTGTTGATAAAGGAAATACTCAAACTCACCCATGCAGAGTTCTCCTGATCCAGCCATTGGGATCCAATGCGCCTGGCCGCATCCATCACCCAACATTTGTCTGTGAAGTTATGAAACTTTAGAACAGGCCTCAGACGCTGGTGTGAATCTGGTCTTGGCATTAATGATCTGTGAGCCTCCTTCACTCCTCCTCCTCCATCAATTGGAGGAAGAATCAGTTTTGTTGTGCGTTTCCTTGACTGATGAAGCCTTCCGGATTGAAGGCTAAACGTTTCAGCACAAAAAAAAAAGAAACTGTCCAGATGACCTGACTGAAAAATGTTGGATTTTATACCTGGATTATTGAGCATGGACTTTGTTGTTTTCAACCAGTTTGACAAGACTGTCAACAAGGAAGAGGGCCGGCAATGGAGGAGGGGCGTACCAAAGAGACCATCTAATCACAAGCAGAACTGGTTTGTTCCACTTTGGAGTAAGCTGTTGGAGGAAGAATCAGTTTTATTGTGTTTACTTGACTGATGAAGCCTTCTGGATCGAAGGTGAAACCTTTCAGCACAAAAAAAGAAACTGTCCAGATAACATGACTGAAAAATGTTGTATCTGTGTAACAGTTATAGTCCAGAAATTGAATGTCCATATAACAAGAACAATCCATGAAGATTGTTGTAGTCCATAAATTGAAGATGAAGTGAGTATGTATGAATGAAAATGGAGGGGAGAAAAACAACTGGGCTCAGCAGCATCCTACTAGACCTGCAGGGCCCAATTCTGAATTTTGGTGAAGGTTTCTTTCACTTCAGGTGTAGTAGCTCACCATTAATTGACCCAACAGGGTGCACCTGGCCTTAATTTAATAAATAGAACCCATAATTTAGTTACTATTCATAACTAAGTTTGTTTCATATGTACACATTTAATCATTACAAAATATACTTTCAAATAATCCCATATTTACACACATCAATATTTGAATAAAGTTAAACAAACATATCCTGATGCATGCTCAATAATCCAGGTAGAAAAATCTAAAAAAGTTAAATCTGGTCCTCTGGACATTCAAAAAAACAAAACAAAGCAAATCAACAAAAAATGTAGAAACGTTTCGTCTCTCATCCAAGAGACTTCCTCAGTCTGAGGAGCTGTATTCAGCTCAGTCTCTTAAATAGCACCTTCTCAGAGTGGATCAACCAGTTTTGCTGCTGACAACCAAAACCAGCTGATCACATGCTCAAGAAGGACCATCAGCCTAACAATGGATCATTAGCACCTGATGGCTGTTTACTGTTCACAGAGGGCTGAGTGATACTAGCAATCACAGCATTGTAAGAGGGGGACAGTTGAACCTGGAGGCTCCGCCCCTGTTTAACAATGGACGATTTCTTTTCACAAAGATGGCCTCCTTTACTCCTCTCTCAAACCATCGTTCCTCTCTGTCCAGGATGTGAACATCTTCATCCTTGAAAGAGTGACCTCTGGCCTGGAGATGAGTGTAGACCGCAGAGTCCTGGCCTGATGATGTTGATCTTCTGTGCTGGGCCATCCTTTTGGCCAGTGGCTGTTTAGTTTCCCCGATGTAAGACTGATCACAGCCCTCCTGACACTGAACAGCATACACAACATTACTCTGTTTGTGCCGGGGGACTGGATCTTTGGGATGAACCAATCTTTGCCGTAATGTATTTTGGGGTTTAAAAGCCACTGGGACGTTATGTTTAGAAAATAAA